AAAATAAAAAAAATAATACTCACAACTCTAAAATATTTTTTTTTATAGATTTTTACATATATATATATATATATATATATATATATATATATATATATATATATATCAAATTGTAGGAGAACGAACAGTCAGATTACAGCGTTCAAAACATTAATTTAAAAATAGTGTTCAATACATAAAGTAGAGTCCGTAAATATTTATTCATCTTATGAAGTGTTACATTATAACATGCACATATCCACTAGAAAAATTGTACATTTTTGTTTCAACATCAAAAAAAAAAAGGAAACCTTTTTTTAGACGTCTCATCAAGTGGGGAATTATGGTGTTATGGTGAACACAACAATTCCCCCACCTGATGATACGTCTAAAAACGGTTTTCCCTTTTCTTGACGTTGAAACAAAAATGTACAATTTTGTAGTGGATATATGTATGTTCTAATGTAACACTGCATAAGATAAATAAATATATATATATATATATATATATATATATATATATATATATATATATATACAAATACTGTTTATTTTAAATACCAAATATATTTTTAAATCAAAAACTGTAATTCCAGTATAATATATAATTGCGCCAAAACTGCGATAACAAGATATTTTTAAAATTTAAATTACGAAACGGTCATTCTATACTCAACACCTGAAGATTGCGTTGTGCATGTGCGTGTTATTGTGAGGGAGGATATATATATATATATATATATATATATATATATATATATATATATATATATATATATATGAAAGTGGACACCGAGCAACGACAAGACAACCTGTTTCATGGTTAAACTCAAACTTCAGGCCATGTGTGTGTTGTTTGCATAGTCTATTGTATTCTCCTCACAGTTATATTTCAAAATATCCTCGAAGCTATTGAGGAGAAATAATTCTGGATCTTCAAAATTAAAATTAAAATTAGACGTATTATCACTCTATCAAGGGACACACTTTCTTTGTGTTTCCTTTTTCTTTCTTCCCTCTTCTTTTCCTTTATTTACTGTCTTGACTGAGAAGTGGCGGGATAAAATCTGGGTCACTTACCAACCAGAGAGTTAAGTAAAAGTCGGTCGCCCAAGCCCACGTTACATGTGCCAACAGTATCATTTTTAAATATGTTTTCACTTTCTAGAAATTCTCCGATCAAGTCAAGTCGTGAATAAATTGACTCCCATCGTCTGGTCATAAGAAACGCGCTTATGGACTTATTCCATTGCTAGATGTGTAGCGTGTAAGAAAATATCATTCCCACCGAACTCTTACTAGTCTTATTTTGGACTTATTCGGTTACTATATTTGTACAGAATAAGAAAATATTATTCCTGAAAAATTTTTCCATCTCTTATCTTGGATTTATTTCGATTGCTAGATGCGGAACGAAATGGAAGTATCACTCCGGAATCTCCAAGTTTATATAACAGAAATAGTAATTAAAGATATTCCGGACATTCTAAAGTACCTCAATATGTTTGCTGTTACGAACACTTCATCTTACGGACTCATGATCATGTATAATCGGAGTGATACCCCGTATTAGATAAGTGCTTCTTGTTGATCTTACGTCTGCTAGCTTACATTTTTCTCCCTATTCAATTGTTTTGTTATATAAAATTGTTTTTAAACTTTCACACTGTTTGTTTTTCGTTGACACCTGAGCCATGATTTTATATCTGAGCGATCAAATCTTTTCGTTTTTAAAACTGATGTTTACATCCGTATGTTGCCAGTTCGTAACAATCCAAATGTGGTTTATATGAAGCTATTTTATAATATTGTTTGTGAACTTTTTACTCATTATTTGGATTTACGGGTGTTTGTTTGAAGTTTGTCGATCTGTTTATTATATACTTAATATGCTTATTTATTTATTTAGATGTTTTTCGGAGGTTGGTTATCTTATTTGACTAGGGCATATAAATATTCGAGTCAACAAACAACACACGTGGCCTGAAGATTGCCTTCACGCATGAAACAGAATGTCGCCGCGTGGTGTTCACCTCAGCACCCGTGAAAATCTTAATTGCTGGCGCAAAAATAGTGAATGTTTCACAGATGAAGACGGACCTTGAGGCAGAAGAGATATGGTTATACAGAAGGGTACTGTAAATATCAGGCCATGAATATGCGAGTCAAGAGGAAACATTAAGAAAAAAAGAAAACGGGAATAACGATTTCAATCAGAAAGAGACACTTGAAATAACTGGAATATATAATTCTGAAGAGAGCACTTGGAGAATTTAATACCCACAGGACAAATTGAAGCCAAGGCGAAAGAGTAAGTCACTTCGCGTGCTTGTGTAAGTGGTCACCAGAAGAGGAGATTAGTGGTATAGCAAAAAGACAACCATTGTTAGGAGCCACAAAAAGACAGGACATTTCAGGAGAGCCATGATAACGTACTTCATGAAGGGACAAAGTATAGAAGAAGAAGAAGAAGAAGAAGAAGAAGAAGAAGAAGATAAAGGAGAAGAAGAAGAAGAAGAAGAAGGAGGAGGAGGAGGAGGAGGAGAAGAAGAAGAAGAAGAAGAAGAAGAAGAAGAAGAAGAAACTTCATTATAAACAAATGTTATTATTGACAAAACGTTTCGACCAAGTACCCTCTGGTCAACATCAGGCGTTCATTGATTGGCTGAATGGGATATCTGTTGTCTATCGTGATATTTTGTCTCTCTGGCGTCACTTGTTGTTCGTTCCTGCAGAATTGGTGTTTCGATACCTGATCCAAGGATTGAATACTAGATAACAGTTATACATGTACAACCAACGCTTATATCCACAAGGCTACCGCCCAGAAGAACATTTTGACCTGTTTTAGAGCCTTTTATATTCAATGTCAGATGGTTATGCCATTTGGTTATATGGTGGGTTCGTACCGTTTTTCATAATTTAATACTTAATTTCTGAGATAAGTTATTGCTGATAGTCTTGTATTAATAGGCAGTTACTTATCTCAGAAATGAAATAGAAAAAATGAAATACGAAATTAAAATAAAAGAGTGTCGAAAAGTTATGGCAGTGAATGGTCAATAATTTCCTCACAGAGGAAGATGAGATGCGAAACGACAGAAATGTGGTTCTAGAGAAGAATTCTGAGAATACCATGTGTTATGGTCCGGTTCCTTGTACCACGGTGATAGTCCAAGGTAGAACCAATAAAGAAGAACTCGAAGGCGGATATGGAGTAACACAGATATATTACAAACAGGAATATATACAGAGAGGTAGAAAAGTGTTAGTACGAAAAATCAGGTTTAGTAGTAATTGTCTGAACGCGACTCTGTTTCGGGCTTTCTCTGACTCGACTGACTGACTCGCTCGCTCTGACTGACTGACTGACAGACTTCTGACGGACTTCACTCCAGACTTCAGGCTGAACTCCAGACTTCAGACGGAACGGTATTTAGTCACCCCCCACGAGGGCATCATGTGGCACAAGGCCAGTTTAACGTGGGATCTCCGAGCCCGTGGGCTCGGCCAAAAATATGCCATTTGAACCCGTATAAACGGGTTCAGGGTCGGTTTACCTCCTCGAAAGAGACTCCGCCCTTCGGCGTAGCCTCGTTCGGGTTTCTCCCCGCCCGAAGGCAGAGAGTTCAACCGATAAGCCGATCAGCCGGTCGCCCGACTTCAGACAGAACTCTCTGCTTCCTCTTGAGGCGCAGTATTTATTACGTATGGAATAGTCCATTATGTTATTATGGGTAAGGTCCCATAACACCATGCAAGGAATATCTAAGCAACGAGGAAATTTCGAAGAAAATGGGAATGGAAAGGATAAATAATTTAGAACAGGGGAAGATGGGTTTGGAGAATTTAATGCTGATATGTCCCGGAAAAGGATATATTTGAACAAAGTAGCTAAGTGGTTTTGGCTACTATAACCAAGTAGAATATGGTAGCAGTAATCGACTGGTACGCGTCGTAGTTGCAGGTAAGAAGTGTAGATCAATGGCGTAGTCCAATGGGCGTCGTTATAGACTTAGCTCTCAGACTAAGGCTCTCTTCTGACTCTCCTACACGTCCGTCGGTATTTATAACGGACACCAGCCAATCACATTCCACTGAGGGGGAACACAGGTGTATCCATATTCCATTATATCAAATACTCACAAGACAAACTGAAGGCAGGTGGAGAAGAGTGAGTAAACTACATGATGTGTTTATACCAAGAGATCATAGAGAATACCATGGGCAGAGAATGTGTATAAAGAGGAAGGTTTTAAGAAAGTAGAAACTCTACGGAAACTGATAAAAACAGAAAGAGACAGCTGAACATTCTGAAACAAGTCGTGCGAAACAATACTTGGAGAATTTAACTCTGAAGATATGAAAAAACAAGGATGAAACTGCGAGTAAACTGCCTAATGAGTTTTGAGTGACTGGCTCTTAGGACAAGAACACAACGGGATAGTAAAATATCTGGTGTTTCTTAGAGCAATAAAAAATAGTTTTCCATGATCCCTCACGTCTTGAAATGACATTTAACATGAAAGAAAAAATTAAAATATCTACTATCGAACCAATGTCTTCATCTTTTTTTCTTATTGCCACAGTGTTACAGTCGTTGGGCTCTCCGGCCTTTTTCAAGTCTTTGTTCAGTAAGGTAACATATTATGAATCTTTAACTTAACATTTTTTAATTAATCTACGGGATATATTATTATTGTTCCTTAATCTATATCCTAGTCCTTTTTTTTGTAAACCGCTCAATTAATTTTTAATCCTTTTTCCAGCCTAAGGATTGAACTTACGATTATTCAAATCTCAAGAACCAACGATTTAATCCGCTGTCGTACAATCCCAAGGTTAGAAATTGGAGCTTTGATAGAAATTAATTATAAACGAATCATATGGCCAATTTTTATTGCCTTTCTGTGGCCATTCTCTTTCTGTGCTCTGATTCCCATCCTACCTTCGAAAATAAAAAATATAAAAAATCTGCATTACCCCATTGGTTGGTGCACTGGGGTTTCCGCCCAGACTCTATGAGTTGGAAATTTAAAGCGAAAGAAGTTAGGACGAAAGACAATAAATGTAGCAATGAAACATCGGGTGGAGGGGAGCCTCGTGATCACCTCTTAGTGCACACTGTTTTAATAATACCTACTTTTGAATCGCTTCAAACCAATTTCCCTTTGGTATTTGTTTTTACGAGCTGCTTTCCCAACACCAAGCTTAGATCTTTCGTCTGATTTCCTCTTTCGTCCGACAATTTAACGGTCACGATCAATTCTCACTTTAAACACCAGTTTCTTGTTACGAGTCTCAATTTACACCTAAGTTAACAATTTGGCACTGCTTGGCGGGCGTTCGAGTCTCTACTTTTATTTCTTTCATGGTTGTCTTTAATTTTAGGCATTCTGTTCGCTTTTGTTTCATTTATTGACACAACTCTTTGTTTCTTTGGCTCCTTCGTTTTAATTTCTCACTCTTTGTGTGTTTTTATTCTCCTTTCTCCCTGTCTACTCTGGCCCGAAATTATCTCCTTTTCCCAGATTATATTCATCTTTCTTTCTTTCTTTTCTTTCTTTCTTTCTTTCTTTACCTATGTATTCTTCTCTCCTATTTTACCTACGTATTTCTCTTCACGTTCATTTCTCGTTTTCTTCTTAATCCTTTTTCTTCATTTTCTCTTTCTACTTGAACCTCTTCTCTGTCATTTTGTACATATCTTTCTTTCTTTCTTTCTTTCTTTTTCTACCTATGTATTCTTCTCTCCTATTGTACATACGTATTTCTCTTCACGTTCATTTCTCGTTTTCTTTTTTATTGTTTTTTTTCTTTTTCTCATTCTACTTCAAACTATTTTTCCTCTGTCTTTTTTTTTTACATTTCTCTTTCTTTCTTGTTTTACTTTAAATGTTTATCTTACTTGCTTCTCATCGCCTTTCTTTCTTTTCCTACCTACATATTTTTTCTTCTTCTTCACCTTCATAGCATGTTTTCTTCTTCCCTTATTTCTCAACCTTTCCTCTTTCTCTTTCAGTTCCTTCTAAATTTTCTTCTTTTTCTTTGTCTTTTTTTTATTTACAGACGCCTCTCTTTTTTTTCTTTCTTTCTTTGCTCGAGATTCTTTTTCTTTCCCTTTCAAATCCATTGCAATTTTCTATGTACCGTTTCTACCTATTCCATGTTTCCATCTTTTTACATATTTACTTCCGTTCTTCTTCTTCTTCTTCTTCTTCTTCTTCTTCTTCTTCTTCTTCTCTTTCTCCTCCTCCTCTGTTACATTTCTCTTTTTTCCTCTCTATTACTTTCTTAGATCACCTCTTCATTCCTTACGCTTATTTCTCTCGTTATTTTATTTGCATTATTTGGTTTCTTTGTTCTGATTGATTTTGCGTATTGGAGAGTAAAATGCGCCAAATCTTAATCACACTAAAACTCGACTCGCTGTAAATTCCATCATTGTTTCCTGTTTGTATTTAATTACATGGCCTTCTTCGGCGTTTTTCCCGCCATGATCCGCTTTGTGTTCTCTTGTACAATTGTCTTCAGATCAATTTTCTTTATTTTAAAGACTTTGATCTGTGATCTAGATTTCTGTTTGAACAGCACAATTTTCTTTTTATTTCAATGAATTGACAACTGCTTAGAAATAATAGACATTTTTGAAGCGACAGGCTGTGAGTTCATATTACAGGAAAAAAATGTGAGATAATTATTGAAAAGAAAAAAAAATCTCTCTCTATATATATATATATATGGTTATCCACTATAATAACGTTTAAATATATATATATATATATATATATATATATATATATATATATATATATATATATATATATATATATATAAGTTTAAACGTTATTATAGTGGGTAACCATATTTGAATATACCTTTCTTTATTTTTAGTATAGCAGTATATTTGTTTTCGTCTGTCAGCCTGGAGATTCGAGAAATCTTATTAAAGATTAATATGCTCCTTCGGATAGGAATTGAGAAGGCACTGAATAACTGTCGGGTAGTCCTACTTCCAAAAAATATGTCCATATATTCCAATTCGTATACTTTTGACGGGCTTTCAGTATCCTCTTCTAAAAGTTTAAATTTGGACGACAATTGAGTTGTCGGCTTTCAGAGCCTGATCAATAAGGCGTTGTTCTGCTCAGGCTTCAAATGAATGTGAATTCAAATCTTGCTGGTATCCCCCATATCGGCACAGAGTAGAATACGCTGGATGTATCCTCTAAAATGGGGCAAAATCACTTTTCACGGGCAACCTAGAATATATGCGCCTGCCGATTCGGGTATCAACGACAAATGTCTACCTGTAGACTAGTGTATAAACCCATCAAATGTTTGCACTGTAGATTGATGTATAAATCTGTCCAATATTTACCCATAGGCAGAAATACAAACCCAAATAAAATCCACACATAAGCTCAAGTATAAACCCGGCTAATGTTTATCTAAAGACTCAAGGATAATGCTGACAACGTCTACCTATTTACTAAAGTATAAATCCGACCAGTGCCTACTTATAGATTGAAGTATAAACTTGACGCATGTTTACGTATAGACTGAAGTATAAAACCAATTGATTTTTAACCACAGACTCAAATATAAACCCGACTAGTATCTATCCATAGAATCAAGTATAAACACGACCGATATTTATCTCTATACTCAAGTATAAAACAAAAAAATACTATCCCATAGACTCAAGTATAAACGCAAGCAATATTTACCTATAGACTTAAGTATAAACAATCCAGTCAATATTTAGATATATATTCAATTATAAAACCAGACTAATGCCTACTTATATTGACTGAAGAATAAACCCGACTAATGTATACCTACTATACATAGACCGCAACTCAATCTGTATTTATTCGATTACAGTTGGTTGAAAACAGAATTTATCTTGTTGAAATCGGAAGTAACACATAAGTTGATAGACTAATTGATAAATCTTGAAAAAGCCCCTGCTGATGGTCACAAATCTGCTATTATGGGCTGGATAAAACGAAACCAAAAAATTGGTATAATCTTTTCTAATAATAGTAGTTAGATTTGACGGTGTAGTAATGGATAGCAGCTCAGATTATGGAATCAGAGAGCCGGGTTCGAATTCCACTCGAATCCATTATATTGCGAATACCCTTGGGAAAGGTACGAATACTCTTCTTCTCTCCCCAGCTATGGGTAAATATCAGGGCAGACCAGGTTCTATAGCCTTGCATGGTAGCTGGTCTACAGCAGAAAGAGATGGCAACGTCAGTCATATATCGAAAGATATATGATCGGCTCAGCGTGTATCACGCATAAGTGACTGACTGATACGAAATGTGATAACTATTTTGCGATAGAGATGATATTTATTTTGTGTGATACTTTAAGTAGGTTAATGATCTGATGCATCAGTTAAATATTAATTTTCTTATTAATTTTCTTATTAATTTATTTTGCGTGATTCGTCTTTATCCCAAAAATAAATAAATCACCCCAAGAAAGAAAGAAAAAAGAAAAGGAAAAGAATTTGTTTAAATATTTCCCGCGTATTTTATTCAAGGCGTTTTTCTTTCTTTTTTTGCATTCAACAATAGTGTTATTTTTTTAAAGAAAAATGTTCGTGATTCCGTGATTGAGAAGAGAAACCTCACACGCAAAGTCCTGCATTCGACGTCATAATTTTCGCCAACTTAGCATGTTCAACAACAATAATTCATACAATTAAAGTAAAAAAAAAAAGACACACACTTTTCTATTTCTATTCTGTATTTTGATTATAACGCAGAAAAATAAATGTCGCAGGCTATCATCGTCTTCATGTGACATTGTCACTGCCTCATATGTGGCTCAAACTGGTGTTTGGCGAATTCGGTCGTTGTTCCGTCGTTGTCCGTTTCGATTGTGTCGCAGCGTTAGTCTCCACGATTGTTTTCAAGTCAATAGACGTAAGTCGCACTGTTTCTGTTATTTACTGAACGTCAAGTAAGCTTTCTTTTTACCAAGAGATAAGTTTTCTTGCAATAAATAGCAAAACGAATACGGTTTCCATTGGCTATTTTACTGTCCCTAGTACTACTTATCGACTCGTCAGTGTGAGAGGGTGTAGTGAGTGATAGAAACTACCCTATCATATTACAGATACATACCCTACTCGGGGAAAATTCTCACTAAAAAGTTTTGGACGAAGAAACTCCTTTTTTTACGAAGGAAGCTCTTGCGTTCTCGCTACTTTGTGATTCGTCAATTCACGGACCACTGAAAAGGCACCGCCGTTTCTTCCTTTTTCATTTTTGCAAGATTTGTTGCGATGAACTGATCCTATCAGATATATTGCATTTCAGAAATACGATATAACTTATTCTTGTCTATTTTACATACAGTGTTACATTCATTTCCCTTATTCTTTTGCCTAACGTTTCGAGGTGAATTATTCGTGATTTTCGTATTTGTTTGTTTGAATACTATCCTCATTGTAATTGTTTTAACCATTGTGCTTTTAAGTCTTCTTCGAGTCTCTGTCTAAGCTGGTAATATTCTGTGAATTTCGAAGCGAATCCCTTAGCTAATCGTCGAAATTCCTGGAAAGTTGTCAACGATGGGAAACACTTAAGAAAGCCGGAGACCACATTGTTGTGACGATAACAATCAAGGACACTAATCCGATCAATTTTACGCTTAACAATCAAGGACACTAATCCGATCAATTTTACGCTTAACAATCAAGTTCACTAATCCGATCATTTTTGCGCTATTTTCGCTTGCGTCAGATTGAGAAAACTCGCGACATTTCGTCTTTTAAAATTTTCAGTTAGTGTGAGTTCGATTTACACCTATGCACCCCTCCGTGTCGCCAAGATTCCGGGGAATAGTTACTTTTATCGCAACGCTATCTCTAGATAGATTGCCAATCAAAGCAAAAAGAAATTCTATCCGCTTATGTGTTTAGGACTTCTGACTTAGGCATTGGTGAATTAATTGTTAGGACAGCCATCGATGATTTCTGAGCTGTTCCATTTACCCAATT